AACATCTTTGCACATTATTTCCCTTTTATGTGAGTTGGATATATCCCAAAGTGGAATCTGGGGTCAAGGGCATAGTCCACGGTGCCAAGCTGCCTTCTGTAGAGGCTGGGTGTGTTCATGCCTCGTGGCCAATGGATGCCGGGCCTGTTCCCCATCAGTCCAGTGCATTGTCACACATTTGTGTCTTAAACAGGAATGGGCCCCCTCCGTAATTTTGGAGCTGTGTTCATTAAATATCACATCGAGACCTCAAACTCCAGAGCCCAGCCACATGGCTTAGTGCTGGGTAGCCGTGTGGACTCAGCAGAGCCATCAATGTCCATGACTCGGTCACATCTCATTTGTAAAATGGGGATATTAGCAGTAGCTGCCTCATGGGTTCTTGTGAGTGAGCTAGTATATGTCAGAGGCTGGAACAGGGCCCAGCATGTAAGGAGTCCCAATAAATATTTACTCTTGTATTACGTGCTGCAGGTTCCAGGGGATGCACATGGCCTCTCCAGGAGCAGCCACTTTTTACCAGTGAAGAAAACACCCCGTTAGGTTTCTGTGTAAGCAGAGAAGCTGAAAGAGCAGACAGCCTGGAAAATGGACAAGGGGAAACTGCGGAAGCCACATGGGCATCCATTGAGGATATTCAGAGAGGAGAGGGGGGAGTGGGGGCATAAGAAATCCTGGGATTGGATGCTCCTCCTGGGATGGAGCTTGGCTGCCCCTGAGCTGGAGGAAGAGAGAAATCAGGCAAGTCAGAGGGACCAGGTCAGAGCCACCAGATACTTCCCCAGCATCACAAATATCAACTCATCTAAAGCTGTGAAACTGACATTTTCCCCAAAATTCCCTTTAAAAAAAAAAAAAAAATTCCAGTAATTGCACATGGTAGAAATTCAAAAGAAATGATTATTTCTAAAGTCCTAGAAGACTACATTCCTGTCATATAGTAAATAACATATAAATATTTGTAGAAAAAAAGAAAAATGCTTTGAAGATACCTTCTCCTTTGGTCTCTCCCACTCTCCAGAATCTCACTGTCTGCAGCTGATCCTTTTCTTATCTTTTTCTTTATTTTTTGCTTCTTTGCTCTAACCCAAGTCTTCATGCCACTGACATAAAACTCAACTTCAACCAGGCCGAGTGTGCCCCAGGCTGGAGGCCCATGGTGCCAGTGCCATGGCTGGGTAGAGACCGACTGGAGCGCGGGCCCAGCCAGGAGGCCTGAGGACCAAGTGCCTGTCCCCTGTGCCCTCAGAGCAGCTGGCACTCCCTCCTCCCCCTCCTCCTCCTCACTGTTCCACATCCTTGTTCAATTAGAGGGTGGGTGTGAGTGATCCAGGCAGAGGGGACAGAGCACCCTGCTCTCTGGCTACATCTTTGGGGTTTTTTTTGGTTTTTAATTTTTTGATAATTTGGAACACCCCTCCTAGGTCTTGGCCTTGCATAACCCTGGTACCACCAGCCGACCACAGGCAGCCCTGGCACCCTTGAGCTGCACAGGACACACTGTGTCTTTCTGTGGCAGCTGCCCTCCTGGCCATGTGTGCTGAGGACACCGCTCTGGTGCGCAGCTGTTCCTTAGGGCTGCCCTGCCACCTTCTGCGACCTTGGTACCCCCACTGCTCCTGCAGGCAGTTACCCACACTGTGCCCAGAGAGACAAGAAGGCAGTGTCAGCATCTCTGGGAGGCAGGAGCCTTAGGCCAGGACCATGTGCTATGCACTTATACAGGAAGGAAGTTCTGATGTTTTAGCAGAAAGACCCAGGGTTTCAACTTTTGTTTTTGCAACAAGGCCCAAATGAGAGCTACAGCTCTGAGAGAGTATCAGGACCCATGATCATGTCGTGTTTGGCAGCTTCGCGGTCAGCCCACTGTGAGTGGTTGCCAACATCCCATGCTACCTCGGCCCCTGCTCACACCCAGAGGTGGGCTGGGGGTCTCCAGTTCATCACTCTCAGCTTCTTGGGCCTGGGCTGCCGGGCAGCAGGCCTAGCACGCCGGGCATGCCACTTCCCAAACGGTTAGTTGTTACCCTGCCAGTGGGTGGAGGCACAGATGCAGATGGCCTCCAGCTGCTGCAAAGCAAATGTGGCTCTCTTC